CCCGTCTGCGTCCGCCATCCGAGATCGGACCCGCGGACGCGTCCACGGGTGTTACATAGCTTTAAAGTCTTCTCATATCACGAGACTTTTGAAGTGGATTCAGATGCAAACTAACCTATCCACTACATTGACCCGTTGGTTGCATGAGATTGATGCTTTCGATTTTGAATTGAAGCACAAGAAGGGATGTTTTAACTAAGAATTGAGTTGTTGATGCATTGTCTCCCCACCCGGAGCATATGACTTGCCTTGTGAGCTCCTACAGCCTCCGAAAGAAACTAAAAGAAAAACTAGTTGAGCAAACTGCCAAGGATCCGCCATCCTTGAGCAGCTCAAGGCTGACCCCAGAAGTCGGCCTGATTTCCACGAGAGTGAGGGTTTGTTATTTCGACGTTACGAAACGCATGATTGTTTGTGTGTACCCAACCATGAGCCTCTCCGCACTCACTTCTTGGACTTGGCTCATGGTCTATTGCAACAGTTTGATTGGCCTGGTATAAAAGGTTCTGCACACAAGTTTGTGGTTGAGTGTCAAGTCTGTCAACGAATCAAGCCATGTAGACAAAAGCCCTATGGCCTACTTCATCCCCTACCCATTCCCGATGGTTCCGGAAAGTCAGTTTCCATTGATTTCACGGATATGGGAAAAGAGAGTAAGAATAGTTACTCACAAGTGATGGTGATCGTTGGCCGTTTTTCGAAACTCTTAAATCTGATTTTGTTGCCACCTCACGCCCCAACTGAGCTTGTAATCAAAGAATTTAATAAGCATTACATTCTGCAATATGGACCCCCGAAGACTCTTGTGAGTGATCGGGATACCCGTTTCATTAGCGCAGATTGGAAGGACTTCACTATCCATATCTACGATATGAATCTCAAAATGACACCTGGTCGTCATCCTGAAGTCAATGGTTTGGCTGAGGAGTTCAACCAGACTGCTACTCAACTTCTTCGCGCTCTTATCGTTCCCGATCAGAACACGTGGGATGTAGAATTGTCTATTGTGAGGGCGTTGTATAACGACTTCATCCACTCTTCCACCGGCATGACACCCAATTGGTTGCATTAAGGATGGAAGATACGCAATCCTTTATCCCCTAATCAGGCGCCCAGTCTAACACCTGGGTGACCTGGCTACAACGCCATTTACAACTGCGTGCTCAAAACTGTTGTTGCAGCAACGAACAAGCGTTGGACGACCATGATCAAGCACGCTAATAAGAAGCGTCAACCCGCACCATTCGAAGTGGGAAGTTATGTCTGGTCAAGATGTCTGAGTTTTCCGAAGCGGGAGTGTCTTGTAAACTTCTTCCTCTCTATTATGACCCTTGGAAGGTGTTGAAGGTAGTGGGAGACGATGAAGTTGGTCCTTCATATGTGATTGAAGTGCCTCCTCATCTGCGCACGTATCCAGTCTTTCACGCGTCCAAGTTGTTCCGTATCGTGCTCCTGGTTTTTGTACCACACACTAGATGATTTGTACTCGATTTCAAAGGAGGAATTGCTGCAAAGCGCACCTCGAGTCGTCAAAGCGTATGAGCGACATATTATTTCTGATGCACAACCAAAAATCACTGCAGCTCTCACTGCTACAGCGTATTCCAGATCCCTCTTTGCAATATTTGCCTATGATGCGTTTTGCAGGGACTTGAGTAAGTTACTCGCTCGAAGGGCCCTCACTCTTGAAGGGTGGGTAGTGTAATGACCCGCCAAAACACAGACTGAGAACACTGCTGATTTCTGATTTTTGCCGCTGGAATGAATGCCTTGCTCAGATTCCCATGTTCTGCTGATTTTTCTAAATTTGTCTGTGTGTGCGAGCTTACTGGTTCCTGTGCCTGCCTGAGTGCTTGTCCGTTTGAGTGTGTGTGTGGCCAGTCAGGGCACTTGTTTGTTTGGACGGCCCAAGGGGGGGGGGGGGGGGGGGGGGGGGGGGGGGGGGGGGGGGGGGGTGGTACTTACCTGTGGCCATGACTTTGAGGGTTGCAGCAGGGAAAACACTCAAGTAGCAGGAGTAGACCCGCGACACTTAGAGCAACGGAGAAAACACTCAAGTAGCAGGTAGGTTGGTACCACTTAAGTAGCAGTAGATATGTCGGGAATTAGAGGCAAAAGTTAATACTTTTAGAGGCCCAATAGCTGCTAGGCTAGGTTTAGGCGGGTGCCAGCCCAAGTAGCCTGAGTCTAGGGCCTGTGTGGACGATATCAGACCCTGCAATCATGTTTCCCTCCGAAAGGGAGGAGATACCGGTTGCTTGGAGGCCGCGCGGCCTGGAGGTCACCGCCCAAGAGGCAGGTAGGCCACTATATCACCAGGAGAAGCGAAGTGCTCCTCCTCATTTGCGGTATGCAAGTTTGGGCGTCATGCTGCTTGAGCCGGGCACTGGCACTCAGAGCGCTGCTGGAAGGAAGAGCGCTGAGCAGTCCAGCGCTGGGAGGAGGAAGAAGGTTGGGCACTTCCACTTTGGCTATGGTGGAGCTCTACCGGTAGGAGGAGGAAGAAGGGGACTAGGGTGGAGAGTGGCGAGGTACTTACCTGGCTATGGTGGAGGCCATCTTCATCACCTTGTTAGGCGGTGCACCTGGAAGGCCCCAGTTGGGGTTGCGCCGCACCAACAAGACTTCAAGGCAGAGTCGGGCATGGCGGCCTGAATAGCAGCGGACATAGCTTCTTTGCTTTGTCTTTTGCACAGCAGGGCTAGGCCCTTAGTAGTCCGCCATAGCTTCGGGCTTATTGAAGAGGAGGAGGAAGAAGGAGGTCATGGCTATGATGGACCTCTGGTTATGCCAAGCAGTAGACGAGGGATTCGGACTTTGATTCTGGTTCAGCCATTCATCATTATTATTATTACTTATTGTTTGAATAAGAATGGAGGCGATAAGGAGGAGGAGTTGGTTGGCGAGAGAAGGGGGGATTGTCATTGGTCTTTGCTGGTGTACATCTTCTTCTTCTTTCTTTCTTCTTTTTCTTCTTCTTTATCCTTCCTTCCTCTCAAGTTCATTCATTTCTTTTGCAACTGGACGGCATTGTTCCTTGTCGTGAATTTGTGAAATTGGCCAGGATCGTAACATGCACCCTTTTTCAATTGAAACAATTATAGCTCACCAATTATAGCCCAGTTACGGTCCTGTCATGACCCAGTTATAACCCAGTTATACCTCAGCTATAGAGTCTATACATGAGCTTACCCATGAAAATACATTAAAGCTAAAGGTGTGCTTGACTGAAGTTCTTAGTTCATATTCTGAGCTATACTCTGGGGACAAAGGTCAGCATTTTTCTCGACTCACCGAATATCAAGTGCTCGTATCGAGCGAAAAATCGTGAGTGTGTTCGGGAAGAAGGTGAAAAATTGAGGGTGGAAACGTTCCAAAACTATGCGTCCTTCACTCAGCGGAAGCAGAAAGCAGCTGTTGTGGCCAGCACTTAGCACCAGATCAAATGGAATACGATGGAGGTTCCCGATGCTGAGATGGCCTTATGCTGAAGAGGGCTCTGAGGTGTCAGGATTTTCCCGGCGTAATTTTCAATTGGGGCCTGGCAAGATTTGTGGCCAGACACGCGCATGCATGGAAGGGCGTACTCCAGCGGCTGACGGCATGGCCGATCACATGTGGTGTATAATGACAAAACATAAGTACCGCAGGAGGGGACAGTACCAGCCATCGATCGAAAGTACAAGCGCACGTGCAGCCAGATGACAAAAGCGCGCAGCAAATGGACGCAACATCAGAAGCACAGTTAGCACAGTAATGCAAGGACACCAGACACACGTTTTGTTTCCAGATGCTAGGCAGGAGTAATCCTGGGTGGGAGGAGATGTAAGCCGAGTACTCGAAGTGATGAAGTAGGATAGAATGGGTGCTTAAACCGCCAGTACATGGCCCCAGCCTTGCTGAAAAGAAAACTCGTCGCCAACAATATTTTCGGAGGCCCTGCACCATAGATAAATCGAATGGGTGGCGGGCGGCCTCCGAAAAGGGCCCGCCGTAGATAAATCGAATCGCCTACAACATTTTTGGAGTGGTTTAACAGCGAGCTTGCGCGCTTTCAGGACAGAAAACGCCCCTGATGATAGCGGTTCCTGGCGCCGGTTGAAATGTACGTAGGGCTAGCCAGGTGCATTGTAACTATCTTCCGATTCTAAAGAGAGCTCTGTTTCTTCATTGCATTGTGTGGCAATCTCATTACGTGGTTGTCGAGTCTGTGTGACACGCCACTCGCGCGCGTGCTGTGGGGTACCTCATTGCATGCTGTGTTCGTGTCTGCGTCTCGGCTCTGCGCTGCAATGAAGCTGGTCCACGCCGCACTGAGGCTGCGGTTAGGTCTCAAGGTCGAGATCAGTCAAGCAGGCGGCATCATAGCCATAGCTGCACTCACCAGTGCCGCGATCTGCCAACTCTCCCAGCTCAGTTATAGTCTGTTCAATCCTTTAGGTACACAGCCATGTAGCAGCTAGATATACCTTATTCCACAGAACATAAGTCCCTATAATCATGGCTGTAATTGGCCAGGATAGAGCCTGTACACATTCATGATGCTAGCGAACTATGACCAGGGGAAATAAGGTAATCCACACTGCTTGCGAGTCTTTTTGTTTTTTTTTTTTCCACTCAAAACACTGCCCCTTCCATTCTGGGGTCCCCCAGTCCAGTTGCTTATTACTGGCAAGCATGTTTCCACTGAGGAAGAGAAGAGAAGAGAAGAGAAGAGTAAGAAGTCGCTCAGCCTTGCCCTTGTGGCACTAGCTGCCTGTACAAGGGAGGGACTGCTACAGAGCGTCCCACCCCACAAACCATGGCGTATCTTCGGGGGCTTTCACAAAACACATCATCCTTTTTTTTTTCCCAGTCTTTCACAAAACACATCATCTTCACTGTGCGTGAGACCGCTTAAAACCACCAGTCCCTTCGAGACCAGGATGTCTGCTGTGCGCCAGAATAACAAACACACTGGCGCTGGCGCAAAACCATTGCTTTTTGCCTCGCGCCGCCAGCCATTTTCGTCCCGTAGACTGAGCCCTTTCCATGTGATGGATACAGCGCCGCGTCCAAACAAAACTGCTGGGAAAGGGACCGGTGGTTTAATGTGTTTTTCCAAAATTTTCAACTTTTCCGAACTCTTTCTGCTTTTTGACATTTTGACTCTTTTTTTTAGGCTTTTTTTTTTTTTTTTTTTTTTTTCAAATTTGTTCCCTGATCAGCAGCTAAGTGAATCTGCACATCTAGCTTTCCAACAGCTGAGGTTACAGGATGGCACTACCCATCCCAGCATGAGCCCGACGTCCTCCACCGTGCAAGCACGGATTCGAACCGGCGACCTCGGCCTCAAGAGCCAGGTATCTCTTAACCACTACAGCCAGGACACCGTGTTCAAAAGCGGAACCATACGGGTCATGATATCGACCTTGCCCCTTCAAGCCTGTAGTGTCCAAGTCAACACACTCCACACACCACACACAACACCACACGGGCACGGCAATTCTCGCACACCACGCTCTCGCCAATCAGCACAAATCGTTACCGCAGGTACTCCCTCCCGTCCACCTACACGGGCAGCTTGATCAGTTTTCGACTTCTTTTTTCTTTTCTTTTGTTAACATTCGTTTCATTCCACAGTTTTCAACTTTTTACCTAAGGCAAACACTTTTTTTTTTTCTTTTTTTTTAATAAAACGGCGATGGTCTTGAGATATCATCGCTGAACTGACTGGCCCCAGCTAATTCAGAATGATTTTATTCTGGTCACATCGGGTGGTATCTGGATTTGAACTCTGGTCTTCATTTCAGACCAGGTTCATGGGTGTGCCAACTGACCTACTAGGCCCATTGGTAGGCCAACAAACTTCTTTAGCCACACTCTCACACCGCATTCCCTTTCTTTTTTGGGCCTCGCCACACCACTCTCCAAATGAAAAACAGAAAACGAGTGCATCTTCCTTAGAAAGTGGCAAGATGCATGCGTTACTATTCATAGTAACTAATTCCTAGTAAGGGACGCGTCTTGCCACTCTCTGCAGGAACATGCACTCAAACTTTTTTTTTTTTCATTTCGAGAATGGTGTGACGAGGCGCTTTTATCTCCATTGCCGCAAGGAGTCCGCCGAGGACGACTTATGAGACAGCATCAATCAAACAAACAAGCACTTCTTCTTTTTTTCCCCCTTTGACGGACTTCCTCACCATCACGATCAGCTTCGTCGATCATCTCTTGCAATTCTTCGTCCGTCATATTCTCTCCTAACTCCTTTGCGACACGCTTCAAATTCTTGAACGAAATCTTGCCCTGTCCGGAGGAAACGCAAAAATACAGACCATTGAATTGCGTGTTAAGGCATCGACAGATTTCATCTGTGTTGCTCAAGTTGAGGCAGTGCTACAAAAGATACCCAAAAAAAAAAAAAAAAAAAAAAAAAAAGGAAACTGAAGGACAACATCCAAGCACCCTGCTTTATTTTTTGAATTTTTTTTCCCTTTTGCTTTTTCTTCCCTTCCTTTCCTTAGAAAGTGTGACAGCCTTAAGATATCAACCTTAAGGCTCAAACTGACTGGCCCCAGGTAAATTCAGACTTCGGTTTACTCACCTCATACCATCTGGATTTGAACTCAGGTCTGTGTTTCAACAGTGCATAGGTGTACCAACTGAGCTAGACTGGTTAGTGCCTGCTTCCTACTCCCAGAAAGCAAAACAACCCCCTCCCCGCCCCCCCCCCAAAAAAAACAAAAAAACTGCAATCACAGTGGACGTGACACACTGACGAAGCATAGTCTGGTCCAGCAGGCGGTGCAAAGCCTTGCCTTTCTTCCCACTCCCAGAAAGCCAAAAAAAAAAAAAAAAAAAAAAAAAAAAAAAAAAAAAAAAAAAAAAAAAAAAAAAAAAAAAAAAAAGTGTAGCTACTGTAGTACACTTTATAGTGCAGACTTGAAATTGAAAAATTTTGAATTTGAATTTTAACGTCTAAATCGATAATAAACAATAAAACTGGCACAAAGAAAGATGGAAAAAGATGGCCGCAAAGTGCTGGAGCAAAGTTGGAACCAAAACTCTGCACAGAGTCGGACAGACCCACCTACCAAAACTCTGCAGTCCCACCCACTCCCAATTTGGGAGGGAATGGCATGGGCCTACAGTCTGGGCCTGCATGACGAGAAGAGCGGACGGACAGAGCTACTGAAAGGAAAGGGTGACGGAACTGGCACATAATGGCAGCACAGAATGAATTACACTACAAAGTGGGACTACAGGATGGGACTGCGGACACAGAATGGGACACCAAAGGGACTAGCCATTGGCATGTGCCCTGAGAAGGAATGGGACATGAGAATGGCACCACTGACAGGATGAGCCTGAATAAAGTGCGGGTGGAGCCATCCAGGGGCACTTGGATGGGGGGACCAAAACAGAATGGGACCACCAGCAGGATGGGACCTCTGACAAAATGGGACCAGGAACAGAACGGGAACAGCAACAGGATACCAACAGAATGGGACCATCAGCAGGATGGGTGGGATTGCAGTGCGGGTGGGACCACGACAAGAGGGGGGGACTAGAATGGGGACCTGGACCAAAAATCGATCCCCGATATTAAGGTTTGTGAAGTGGGGGACTAGAATGGGGACCAGGGCGAAAAAAATGATCCCCGCTATTATGGTATATTGAAACTTGTGGTTTGTACTCTGATGGTCCTACACTGTGGACCTATAGGATGGGACTGATCCCTACACTGCCGGACTACAGGGCGACCACATTATAGTCCCACAGCGTGGGACCATCGGCAGTGGATTTAGAATGGGACCACCAGCAGTGGGAACATCAATTGAAGCTTTCCCACAGACGAGGAGTTTTTTGGAATGACGACTCTCTCTTGTCTCTTTGAAGTCATCTCGTGAACCTGAGTCGATTACGGATTCCTTGGTCGCCAGCGGCTGGAGCTTGGAACTTGGAACTGGGAACTGGGAACTGGGAACTTGGAACTGGGAACTTGGAAGGATATCTGTAGCAGCTGAGTCTATGGCAGCTCAGCATCATTCCAATATGAGAACTTGTCCTTTACTTGGAATTTAGAACTTGGAACTTGGAACTTGGAACTGGGACACCGATGAAAAAGGAAGGGAATCTACGTTGTCCTTTACTTGGCACTGTTGGCAGTGATGACTTCTCGAAGATTGGTAAGGTGAAAAAGGAAGTAAAGTTTTTTCAATGAACCCAGTGGGAAAACAGAATAGCACCCCGCACTGAAGATGAGCCCACAGTTAGAAATTGACTAGGCAAAGAGGTGATCAGATAGTCTGTAACTTTGCGCTGACGCCATTGAGTGTGGTGAAGAGAGGGAAGAATCCGCGTCCGCGCATGGGGGAGGGAGAGAGAGAGAGAGAGAGAGAGAGAGAGAGAGAGAGAGA